TTTGGTTGCCCCCTGCATGCACCCATGGGGCTGCAAGTGAACCTGCAACCCAGGTACTTGCCTTTGACCAGGAATCGAACCTGTGACCCTTCGGTGCACAGGTCAACACTCTAACCATTGATCCACACTGGCCAGGATGAAATAATTTATTTTATTTAGCTGTATTTATGTTGAGGATGTTACTGTAACCATTCCAGGCTGGTCTGCAAACAGCCTGCAGCCTAGAACTTGTCTCCTTTCTTACTTCATTGTGATTGCTGCTCGCACATGTCTTAGGCACGCCCCATTCTCTAAAGTGCAAGTAATTCCTTGGAGGAAGGACCGTGTTTGCTACTTCTGCATGCTACCTTACGCCCATGATTCCAAGCACAATGACCAGACAAGTAAGCGAGGCTGGGGACAGCAAATGCTTGCTGTGAAAGCCAATGATAAGTAGCTTAGGCTTTGCTGGCCATACCATCTTTGTTGCAGCTACTCAATTCAACTCTGTCTCGCAGTGTGCTGCCACAGATAGTCCTAAGTGACTGGGAGTGGCTGTGTGCCAATAAAACTCAATTTACAGAAACAGGCGGCAGCTGATTTGGCCTTCGGGGCAGAGTTCCCAAGCCCTGCTCTGGAGGCCCAGGTCAGGAGGCTCGCGTTGGAAAGGATGCTAGATGGAAGCTCGAGGCTGGACTCTGGATGTGTGTGGGAACCTCCGTTTCTTCATCTGAACAGGACCCTTCTAGCTTTGAAATCATCGGGTTCTAAGAGTGAATGTCCATATACACTGAAAGCATGACTCAGGGCATCACCAGAGCTACACCCTGTTGACTGTGGAGCTCTCTGCCAGCAAACTCTTTGCTTACAAAGCACGTTGGTGAGACACAGACCAGTAAAACGTCTATGGGCTGAGAGAAATGTTAGAAGGCTGGCAGCTGCAGACTTCTGCTCCCGCCCCACCCAGCAATTCCTTCCTAAGGGTAACGCATAGAAAACAAGCACAAAAAGAAGCAACTTGCTGGTTGTTACACACCGTTAGCTAGTCAATAAAAACTAGAACCAAGGACCTCGTCTCACTCTGGCCTGTGTGAACTCTCTCCCAGAAACACCAGCCATTCCAACTTGTTAAACTCAATAATAGTTCATCTTATCCTTTGAACAATAAACAACATCTTTAAAAATCAGCTTCATGTGAGATTGAAATAGATCTAATTTGCGGCTTGTATTTAAATTGTTAACTACCTCCTGCATTTCCTTTATTGATCATTTTAGTTTTGCCACAAGATAAATACCTAGGTAACCTATCATAATTTTGCATGTAATCTCTTAATTGTATGGTGCATCTCTATATTAAACAGTGAAAAAATAAAGAATTGATGAAGTATGATGGATTTTTAATGGACTTGGATTCTTGGATTTACATTTTTACCTGAAGTAAATATATATATATATATATATATTTATTTATTTATCTTGTTTGGAGTTTTTGTCATCTAGAATGACCGCTTTTTCTCTAATCTCCACTTGTCCACATTTGAAGTATTCATCTAAGCCCAGCTAAAAGCCACCCCCTCCACAAAGCCTTCCCTGATATGCCTGCTCCAATCTCCTGTGGTACTTAATAGGGGTCCTTTGCCAATACCAATTACAGTATTGCACTTATAGCTAATGGTCTACACCTCCTTAGACACCCACCCCCATGAGTGCAGTAAAAGTGCCTTAAATGCAGGTGTCCAAATGCATAAATCCTAGAGTACCTAAGAAAATTATATCTGAGTGGATAAGAATTCAACTTTACTACTTAATCAACATTCTTAAGTTGTTTCTACCCATTCCCTGCAGCTATGTTATTCATCAGAGTGACATTCAACAACACCTTCGTGTCACCTTCATTTCTTTCTGCTCTGTGCTCATTCAAAAAGCTAAAGGAACTACGTTTTCTCATCTAACAGTTGCTTTATAGGGACCGGAAAGATTATTATGGCTGTTTAGTAATGACAGAACTTTATACTGTACATAGAAATCACCCAATGAATTTGACTTTCAATAAACAGAATCAATTTTACAAGGATCGGAGTAATCCAAAAAGACACCAGAAGGTCTGGAGCGGAGAGGCAGTGATATCCCAAACAACACAAAGGAGCCTAGAATTGTGCTGAGGGTTCCAGGATCAAGGCGAAGTATGAGATCATAGACTTCTGGAGTTGGAGTTACACTGTAGACTTTCCAATCCCCTCATTCACCCTTGAGAAAAACAGTGCCATTTAGTTAAGTGAACTATTCCTGGATTTGGTGATATTAGTTAATATCACCAAATCTGGAGATGTTTAAACTGTTGACTATACCATTAGAGCATTCATAATAAATAATTTTAGGGGATTCTATCATACTGCATGAGTTCTTGCACTCCTCCAAAGGATCTGGGCCCTAGATTATTTAACATGAATATTGTGATTTCCTAGAGTCACCAAGAAAAGCACAGATTCCCCTTTTCTGTGTGTTCTTAAGGGAGAGGGGGCGTCCATAGGCACCCAGGTTCATTGCTTAGTTGGTACAATATTCCATGGAGCATCATCCTGATGAGACCACATCCTTTGGCCAACAATTGTGAAGTTTGGGAACAAGAATTTAAAAAGTAGCACAATTTTTAAGGGACTAATATTTTAAAATTTACAAAACTACTAAACAAGTGGAAATATAACTCCACACGCTAAAAACCTTAACTTTCTTCAGGTACAGACTTAAGGACAGTGTCACTGAGGAGGCGGACAAAACCGATTTCAGAGGAAGGCAGGCCCCGGCGGGCAGCACTACGCACAGCATCCTGCAGCCATCCAACCCCTATCTGACCTCTGCTTCTCTGGGGTCCAGTTTCCTCTGTGGTTTCCCATATAAAACAGATAACAGCGGTGCTAAGCTACCTCAAAGAGCTGTCCTGAGAATTATAAACAAGTAGGAAGTATCTGCAAAACGGCCAGTGCTGCTGTGCAGACCATGTGAGAAACAACACAAGAGGGTCTTGCTGGACAGCACGAGACGGGTCATGTATGTTATTCATGGTTCTATGCTGACCCATCCCCTTTCTCCAACTGGGAAGTTCTCAGGCTTTGTCTAAGCGCTGCTTCTTTTTCCCTGCTCTTCTTTTCAGTTTCTTTTTTCTTTTTATTATTAAAATAATACTTACATATACACACAGGTAGAGAGAACAGTAATCCCCCCACCCCCAGGCATCCATCACCTGGCCACATGGCCACTGGCTCAGGGCTGACCTTATTTTAGGTAGACTCCTTCCATTCCTTGGACTCTGCAGGATGTTTGAATCAAATCCCAGACATAGATCATTTCATTTTTCATAGTTTTTAAAACACATTTCTATGCCATCTTATTTTCTTGATTCAACACTCCTGATGTAAATTATTTGTAACAATAAAATTGAGACAACATTGAAGGTGCATTTGGGGCCAGAGAAAAATTTGGAAACAACTTAAAGACGGGACAATGAGTGGAGGCAGAGGTGATTAAAGTAAGGAGCTTATTGGACCCCAGGCTGTTGAGGTGTCAGGAGCACTGCTGCACCTTGGAGTGCAGCTGGCACTTTCTCCTGGGGCATTAGCTCATGGAGGAGGAGGAAGAGGAGGCGCCAGTGATGGTAGGGCATGGGCCTGACGCTTCAGTGCCGAGGCATTTCTCACCTTTCCCTGAACAGGCCGGACTCCTCCCCTCCTTCTTCCATGCATTCCTCCCACCAGTGAACACAAATCACCTTCAGCATCAAGCTACCTCCCTGCTAAGCTTTCCGCAATTCCTACAGTCAAAACGTGCCTTCCCACCGAAACCGGTTTGGCTCAGTGGATAGAGCGTCGGCCTGCGGACTGAAGGGGCCCAGGTTAGATTCCAGTCAGGGGCATGTGCCTGGGTTGTGGGCACATCCCCAGTGGGAGATGTGCAGGAGGCAGCTGATCGATGTTTCTCTCTCATCGATGTTTCTAACTCTCTATCCCTCTCCCTTCCTCTCTGTAAAAAATCAATAAAATATATTTAAAAAAAAACAAAAAAAAAAAAACGTGCCTTCCCTCTGCTTTGCTTCCACAGCACTTAATTATCCCAGCACGCAGTGAGTGAGTAATAAATACGTGAATAAATGCTTGTGCACCGAATGGATGGGACATAGGACTTACTCCGTTCTGCCTTATATCGTAGTTAGTGGTTTCCCATCTGTCTCTCCCAGTGCATTTTAAATTCCTTGAAGAAATAATTGTGTCAAGTCAGCTCTGCGTCCCCTGCTTCCTAATGTGTTTATCTGCGCATAGTCAGTGCTCAACCAATGTCTCAGGAATGGAGCGACGCTCTAGGCAAAGAGCTAACCTTGCCGAGGGGTTGGAGGACTAAGCTTCTGGGGACTGACTTCATGTAAACTCCCGGAAGACAAACGCAATGTGTAGATGTCTACTGGCTTCTTGCCTCAGGAAACAAATCTGGGCTTGTCATCATAAAAGAATTCAAGAGTGGTTTCCTCCATCCCAGTGACCCAACAACACCTGTCTCCAACACCACCCTCCTGTTTTTCTCTCCTGCCCGCTCCCCAGCGAGGGCTGTGCTGAGCTACTGCCCACAGGGTGGAATTACAGGCCTGTGCCCGAGACAAAGGCTCTTTATGCTGTGTCTGGTTATTAATTAGCGGCTGGAAACTTCAGGACAGGGCCATTAACATGCTCATAAACCTTTTATTCTAAGTGTTTTCGCTTAGCCATGACTCTGATGTGACTCTCCTTATAAGCGGGATGTAGGACATTCGTTCCTGAACATTTCTGGGCTCATTAACCACTTTGCCCCAGCAGCTCATTAACTAGCCCATTAGGGATTTCGCCTCATCCAGACAGTAGTCCCTCAGAGCCTCTGAGGGCACCTAATTTGGGGATGGTGTGAGGCTGGTGGCAAAGTTCTCAGGAGAGAGTAGGGCTTTGTTAGGCCTGCCATGAGTCTGAAGGTGGCGGAGGCAGAGGGGAGCACCCACTTACCTGCTATCCTCCCAATGGGCATGGCGTGCTCCTCGGGCGGGGAGACGGAGACCATGATGTGGTTCATGTACAGGTCTTCCCGATGCGACAGGTTGATGGGTTTCCCTTCCCGGTGCAGCCCGTCCTCGGAGAGCCTGGACTGTTTGAAATCCACGGAGTGCCGGGGGTTCAAGATCAAAGGGTGCATGATGGGGCTGGGCATCAGCTGGATCACGCGGGTGCTCTCCTGCCGGGGGCTGGACGGCTTCTGGTGGGGCTCGGAGGACGGTGGGCAGTGATTGTTCTCTATGGGAGACACCGACAGGGGGTAGGACTCCTGGTGGTTGTTTTCCTGGTGGAGCCTTGGTCCCTGGGCCCTCTCGGCTGGGGAGAGGCGGCGGATCATGTTGTCCAGGGGGGACCGGAGGGGCCGCTGCTCTGGGTCAGGAGACGGCCGGTGATTGGTGGTGATGGGTGACCTAGAGCGGTGCAACAGTTCAATGGTGGGAGGGTTGTGGTGCACATTCTCCACGGACGGCCTCGGGGTCCTCTGGACACAGTTATCTGTGGAGCAGAGGAGAGACCATCAGAGCCCCCAGTGAGCTGCAGGGGAGGGGCCTCACTGCAGCTCTCCAGTGAGCAGGGCAGGGGTGCAGTGTGGCTGCTTTCTGTCCAGGATGCAGGGCTGTTTTCCCCACGTAGTGCACATACTTAGAATTCTTTTACTGCCACTAGACAGCGAAGAATGTCTACAAACATTCCATCAATCACCTGCTCATGGCTTACAAACACGAGGAAGCCAAACTTTCATTCTTTACCTTTGACTCTGCATGTGGCTTTCAGGGTCCTTAAGGGTTTCTCTCTAGATGCTTTCACTGACTTACATTTTCATAAGCAAATTTTCATTTTCTCTACCTCCAGGAGGTATGGGTATTTAATAATAATAATAATAATAACAACAACAACAACAACAAAGCAATTACTATATCCTAGCTTCTGCATTGTACTATTTAAACTTTACAACACTCCTAAGTAGCAGATACTAACTACATTAATCCTACTTCACAGGTGAAAAAATGGAGGCATAGAGAAGGTAAGCAATTTACCCAAGGCCACAGAGCCAGTTAGGGGGTTAGAGCCAGACTCCAATCAGAGTCAAGAACCCATGTATCTATTGCAACATCTACCACTTTTCTATATACAAACCGGGGTGGAAGTAACACCTAAACCTGCTCTAAGCATGAATAGTGGGGCTAATGTACAGAATGACAATCTCATTGTACTTGAAAGAACGATTAGGATCACTCTTTTTCTGAGTGCGCAGACCCTACCCAGAAGTGGTTGAAGATAGGCAGAGGTAAGAAAAAAGGAGTAGCATACCTCCACCCCATCCCACTTGAACTTTCAAGCTGGTCACATATGAGCAAGGACAACCCAGAAGTATACACAGCTCGGCAACAGAAGTAGTTTTGCAGGCTGGGTTGAGAGAGGAACTAGCATACATTTGGCTTTGAGTCCTGCTAAGAATAGGAAGGAGATAAATCTGTCTATGAAAATGGAGCTTTCTATAGGGACCCACACTCATCTTCATGAAGTTTTTCTGGCCATATCTATTCCCAGAACTGTCTCATTGGCATAGCTACCAGCAGGAAACTGGTTTATTAAGTTATAGTATACCTCTAAATAGCGGAGGACTATATATATATATATACACATATGTATATATATGTGTGTGTGTGTGTGTGTGTGTATAGTAATATGCAAATTAGGCCAGGGCGCTGTAACGGGTCACTACCGGACAGGAGGAGGTTGCCCATACAGGTGAGGCCTGGGGCGGAGACGGAGACAGGGGGGCCTGCCCGAGCTGGTGCGGCGGCTCTGGCGACCCAGAGCGGACACAGGCAGGGGGGCTGGGGGGGACCTGGGGCTGAAGTCAGGTGCTGTCCCGGCTGCCTGCAGCACCAGTCTGGCCTGACTCCCACGGCGGCCCGTGGGTGCCTCCTTGCGCAATTGCTGGGCCTCTAGTGTGGCTATAAAATGGAATGAGGACTATCTCAATATTCTGCTAAGCACTGGTCTCTAGGCTCTATGGTTAGATAAGCAAAGCAAGATAAAGTATTTATGGTATGGTACCATTTTTCTAATGAAGAAGGGAATTCCAGTTTCAATAATGGCAGAGTGGCTTTTACTGAACTAACCTTTCTACAGGTAGAAATAATAGAATCTGGATAGAATACATTTCTAAAAGTTATTTGAAGGTAATGGAAAAAATGAAGGGAAACTCTTGAAAGAAGGAAACTGACAGAGTGAGATACCAATTTGCAGAGCTTTTGCCCTGAGGATTGTCCGTGTAACGTGGGGCAGATAGAGAATGACTTGAAAGTTGCTTGAGGTGTCAGGGATTCAAGTATGGCTGCCAGAATGGCAAAAAATTGAGAGAGCAAGTCTCATAAAGAGAGCTTCAGAGGGAATATCACTAAATTGGCACATAAAGTTTCCTCAAATCTTTAACATGTGCTCTGAATAGCTCATGTGCTGGGGAAACTCTCTGAGGAGCTCAGTGAAAAGCAACAGATGGATGAATGAAAGATAGGAGCAGAAATCTCAGCTACTGGCCACTGTATTGAAGACAGAATTTGGATTTTAATTTCCATTAGAAAGCTCTGTAAGTATCTCAACATGGGTATTAACCCAGAATGGCCACACCTTATGAGTAAGAACAGTGCTCTAGGACAAAGGGATTTACCTGATGGCTAAAGGCAAAACTGAAGCAGATCTGTCCTAACTAAATGTAAGATCAAGACTCAACAAATTCAAAGTGACTGGCTAGTCATTTAACTTCCTAGAATAAAAATCAACATCCTTCGGAGGAATCTATATATGTAAAAGCCTAAGCAACCATCCGACTGTTCAACCATCTGACCCGTAGCTATGATGCGCAATGATCACCAAGGGGCAGACGCTCCAACCAGTAGCTAAGATGTGCACTGACCACCAGGGGACAGATGCTCAACACAGGAGCTGCTGAGCTGCGGTGACTTGGCAGCTGCAGCTCTTGGGTGATGCACCCAGAACCAGAGAGGAGGGAGCCCAATTCCAGGGTGCGTCACCCAAGAACTGTCCTCTTGCAATTGGGACCCCTTGGGGGATGTTGGAGAGTGCAGGCCAGGCCAAGGGACCCCACCTGTCGGAGGGACCCCCCTCACTCCACAGACACCCTTCAAGCCCCAGCGCTGCCCACGGAGGGACCACAAGAGGTTGGCTCTAGGGCAGGGGTGGGCAAACTTTTTGACTCCAGGGCCACAATGGGTTCTTAAACTGGACCAGAGGGCCGGAACAAAAGCATGGATGGAGTGTTTGTGGTAACTAATATAAATTCAACGTAAACATCATTATATAAAAGGGTACGGTCTTTTTTTTTTTAGTTTTATTCATTTCAAACGGGCCGGATCCAGCCCGCAGGCCGTAGTTTGCCCACGGCTGCTCTAGGGCGTGTCCGCCGACCACCTACTAATTAATTCCTTTCAATGTGCATGAATCCGTGCCCTGGGCACTAGTATAACATACTTTCTTTACAATGTGTTATCGATTGTGTTTATCTATCTTTATTGGATATCTAGGATCCAATAAAGGTTTTCTAGACATTTGAAGACAGAGAAGCTTGATCCAAAATCAAGAGGAAAATAGACTGAAAACAGACTGATAATGCAGAGGTTGAAATTTGCAAAAAAGAACTTTAAAGTAGCTGTAAGTTCAAGCATTTACAATAAATGATAATCATAATGAATGATAACGGCGATTGTCAGAAGAGAAATGGAAACAATATATAAAAAAAGAAGATTCTAGAACTGAAAAAAAATACAGTATCTGAAATGAAAGATTACACTAGATGAACTTAATAGCAGGTTGGAGATGACAGAAGATAGGATTAGGAAACTTGAAGACAAATTTTAAAAAGTGAAAAAATCGATCCTCTGTGACTGAAACAATATTAAATGGTAACAGACATGTAATTGGAGTCTAAGAAGGAGAGAACAGAAAGAATGGGGCAAAAAATTTGCAGAAATAGTGGCCAAATTGTTCCCAAATTTGGTAACAATGACAAACTTAAAGGTCCAAGAAGCTCAGCAATTCCCAAGCAAAATAAATACAAGAAAAGCTACACACAGTCACACCATAGTAAAAAATCTGAAAACTAAAGAGAAAATCTTGAAAGCAACCAGAGGAAAAAAAGACACACTATGTACAGGGGAAGATTTACGCTAACAAGCAAGTGTGCAAGAAAGATAGAGATGGAGAACTATAGATTGAAAGAGACATAAGAGACACATCAACCATTTGCAATGTATACAGACTTGTTTGGATTCTGATTCAAAGTTAGAAACATTGATGAGATAGTTGGGGAAATGTGAACATTAACAGGATATTTGGTGATACTGAAGATCTATTAGTTTTCAGGTGATGTAATAACTTTGTATGATTTTATAATGGGTCCTTATCTTTTCAGACCTGTACTGATATATTTATAGATGAAGTTATATATCTGGGATTTGCTTTACAATAATCTGGAAGTTTGAATCAGAGTGTACCTGGGGTATAGAGGAAACAAGAATGGCCACAATTGATCCTTAAAGCTGGTGATGGGTACATGGTGGTTCATTATATAATTCTCCCTACTTTTGTATCAATTTGATGTTTGCCTACAAAAAAGAAAGTGTGTGTGTGTTTTTAAGTGCTTAATCAATCTTGCAGTGATACAGGTTGGGATGACAAGTACTAACTTCGTTACTTGAACCCAAACGCAAATAAATGCTTACAAGGTACTGGCTGGACCTGTGGTATTAACTTTAATAGCTGAGACTATTAGTATGATATAAATGACCTATAATCTTTTGGGGATGATTCTTTTCACAGCTAATATGGATCTCAATTCTGCTAGCCATGAACACTTGTCATTTGTCACAGAATATGGCCATCGTAAGCAAGTATTTAAGATAGCTGCATTTTGAAGTTTCATATGTTTTCTTCTAAATGCCATTTACAGAATGTCTCCCTTTCCTTAAAAGCTTATTAAGGTTTTAAAAATACTTAAGGATGATGAAGGCCATGTGTTGAAAAATCCTATTTCCTGAATCCATTTCCCATCTTACAAATTGCAAAATGACACAGGCATTGGCCAGTAGTCTGGTTACCTACAAGCTTCCTTTGATGTCCTGGGCTTCAAGGCTCAGTGTATGGGTGTGCACTCAGGGCAAGCCTTAGGAAGTCTGGGAGGACTATGAGAGGAAGAGATTTCATGCCAAGGGTAAAGGGGGAACTGATGTAATGTCCTGGAGAGATTTCACTCTCTGTTCCTGCCCAGATCATTGGGAACAATAAAGGAGGGAGATAGTGCTCTGGATAATCAACTCACATTTTACTTTTGACTCAGGATCTGGCAGCAACAGGACTTGGTGGAGCATGATTTATTTCTCTCTCTGCACACACCACTCAGAGAGGAAGTACTTGATGAAGTTGATAACATTAATGGTAGAGAACTGGATCCAAGGGTTTTAATTCCAGGC